AACCGAGATGTTTGGCATCCTCCACCAAAACCTCCGCTGACTTTCAGGGCATGGTTCTGGATCAATTGATTGAATATGCTTTGAACACATTGCATTGCTCATGAGAATAAAAATGTTATTTCCACCACCTGAATCACACACAGCCAAACATGGTAACAATGACTCTCAGCTAGGCATCAGTGCCACAACCTACGGTCGGTCTGCAGGGGGGTAGGATCAATCTGCTGCCTCCAGCAATTATGCAAAGACAGTGTTAAATTGAGCAAAATGACGAATGGCTAAAAAAGTGATCTGTTTGGTATTTTGAAAAATAAAATGTATAAATATACCTTATATAGGTATGGTCATACACTATATCATTTAAATATAGCATGATAGGTCTCCTTTAATAACTCCACCTGTACCCCGTCCCTGCTGCAGGTGTCGGAGCGGGGGGAGGAGCTGAGCGCCAACGTGTGCCGGCTGGACGCTGAAACAGGAAGCTGGTCGGTGGAGACGGAGCTGCCGGCCCAGCGGAGCCACCACTGCCTGGCCGTGCTGGGGGGCTTCATCTTCACTGCTGGGGGCAGCTCGTCCAGGGACAGCGGGGGGGACGCTGCCTGTAACCTGCTCCACAGATACGACCCCCGCCACAACCAGTGGTCCCGGGTACTGTTCCAGGAGCCCCCCCGATTCTCTGTGAAATACTGTTTAGTTTCAAACACAAAATAATAAAAAGAAATTAACACTAGCACAAAAACATTTCAGTTTAATGTGAGAAGGGTAAAAGATGACCCCCCCCCCACACCCTTTGTTTCTCACTTCCTGTTTAATGGTGCTCAGACTCAGTGACGCTGTGATGCTTTTCCAGGGAGCTCCAATGAATGAGCGGCGGGTGGACTTCTACCTGGGGGCGGTGGGAGAGAGCCTGATCGCTGTGGGGGGGAGGAATGACTCTGGAGCCCTGTCCTCTGTGGAGGTGTACTGTCCCGCCCAGGACTGCTGGTCCTACGTGGCTCCACTGCCCAGGTAGTGTGTGTCTGTGTTTTCTAATTCTGTGGCAGTTGGGAATATTTAGGAAATAATTCATCCATGTATGATATTTTTTTAACAAAATACCGTTGTTAAAAATATAATTTATAGAGGGAATTGTGACCTTTTAATAACACAGCTCTCAGCAGCTTTTCACAAAATACAATCATTTGTTTCCCAAACCCTTCAATTGTGAGTTCTGTTGTGGAGATACGCTATTATGACAATTTACACAAACTTTGGAACGTGACAACAGTCTGTAGCCTTGGATGAGAAAAAACAATTTGGAAATGTTGCCCCCCCATCCATAATTCCTAACAACTGGCCTACCTGTGTTACCTAATATTCTTGAAGGAGAGTTAAATACATTTAAACACAATTCATCCACTCATATCAGCACTTCTTTCCAATCACATTCACTCCTGTTAATAACTTAATGTTTAAAGCACTTCCCTAAAAGTGTTCTAACTTGCTACCTGGATATGCCAGTACTGTTTATGAGACAGTGTATTCATAAGTAGTGTTTTACTGAAGATTCATGTGTTAGTAAAGCATACGATAAAAGAGACTTTGTCTTTGACTGCAGGAGTTGTGTGAGCGATCACGAACGGATGTTTCGATAAAGTTTGCTGTTGTTAAATGTTAACCACATTAACTTTAATGTATAAAGACTTTTATAAATGTTTGTATTCTTTTTGCACTGTGGAGGCATGTGAGATGTTTTGTTCAAGAAATGAATGTATCACCGGGTACGTTACTAACATACAAATGATTTATTTTTGGGTGAAGCGTCCCACAAGTGCTGCTTTGCCATTATATTTCTTGAGTGCATATTTATTGTTTGTCCGTTTTTTAACCATAAATCCAGTAGATCTTTGCTATTCATTTTTGTAACGGTGCTACATTTGGCTTTTTGAATTGTGCCTGGTCTAGGCTCACCTACGGCCACGCGGGGACGGTCCACAGAGGAGTGGTCTACATCTCAGGAGGTCACGACTTTCAGATCGGCCCGTACCGCAGACAGGTCCTGAGCTATGAGCCGTCCCGGGACAGCGAGGTGTGGACGGAGCGGCCGGCCATGACTCTGGCGCGGGGCTGGCACTGTATGGCCTCCCTCAAACACCTCATCTACGCCCTGGGGGGCAGCGACGACGACGAGGACACCACGGAGCGCTTCGACATCCTGAGGGTGGAGTCCTACGACCCCGACAGCGGGCTGTGGACCCGCCTGGCTCCGCTGCTGCTGCCCAACAGCGAGGCGGGGGTTTCCGTGTGGGCGGGGAGGATCTACGTGCTGGGGGGCTACAGCTGGGAGAGCATAGTGTTCTCCAGAGCCACGCAGGTGTACGACCCCGACAAGGACTCGTGGACCAGAGGCCCCGACCTGCCTAAATGTGTCGCAGGAGCCTCGGCGTGTGTGTGCACTGTGAAGCC